TGGGCTAGTGGAGGGTGTCCCTGCCCATGGCAGGGGGTTGGAACTAGATGGGCTTTGAGGTGCTGGAGTTGATGTTAAAGGACTGGACCCCTAAGCAGTGACCCACAGGCTGAGCCCTGCTCACACTTGTGGCTGGTTGGCTGCTACACCTGCACAGACAAATCTGAGTGTTCAAAGTGTTTTCAAATCTTGTGTGTAAAGCCCGTGTTCAGACAGTGATGTGTTCAGCTATCAGGTGTTGCTGATATATTAATGGCCCAATTTGAATTTCCTCTCCTACCTGAAAAGAAAATGGCCACGAAGTCTTCATGGAAGTCCTTTAAGATGAGAAGAGTACAGAAGGTGTTTTAAAACAGCAGCTCCTCAGAACAAACTAGTGTGCATTTCAGTACAAAGGGACAAGGATTCAGCTGCTGTAACACTGTTATTGAAAGACACTTTCTCTCACTGCCTGCACCTGAGTGCAATAGCAGGGAAAATGTGATTTCAGACATTTTAAATCATTACCTGTGAGCAGCAGAACAGCAGGGTTACTAGTGTGATGGTGTTCTGTATGAACTAAGTATGGTTAGGAAATACCCTGGCTCGGGACAGGCATTACAGTCCCGCAGGATGAGGGCTTTGGCAGTGAGCCTGCTCAGCAACGCCAAGACTTAACCACCAGGTAGGAGATTGGATCCGGAGCTTTCATGGGAGTTCTGCGTGAGTTTAGCATTTGAGAGCTGGCTAAATTATTCATGGAGAATCTGAGTTTCAGAATAACTGTAATCCCTTATTTTGAAGGGATGAAGCATAAAAGGAAAAGTTGCTGAAAAAAAAGTGGGGTTTTTTTGTCTTGCATGACACAGCCTCTAGATGTTAGGCATCCTTATTCAGTACAGGGCATCTCATTATGAGTCTGAGCTATCTGCATGTAGTCGCTATATGGAAGCTGAGTATTGGCCTTAAAGATGGGTTTCACCAGATTATCAAAATTTAATCAATCCCTTTCCCTGAGATGACTGCTGCACTCCTGTACAATTCTGCAATCGACAAGATATTTTTCTCTCTTGTGAACTGAAAATTATTAATTTCTCCCCCCCCTGCCCCCAAGTCATTCCAAGTGGGACAATTTCACATTAAAGTGCAGAAATACTTTCTTGGCTCAAAGTGATATCATTTGAACAGATATTGAAAGAAAAAGGATGAAGCAAATGCTTATAATTAGTTCTAATCTCCAGTAATAAAACCTGAAATATGGAAAGATTATAATAGCTTATAGGTATGCAGAGATTATACCTCAGTACATGTACAATATTTTTTCCAAATATTTTTGAGTTCCTATTTAA